TTTTTTTTTTTTTTGCCCAGGTGATCTGCAATAAACAAGGCTCTCTCTTCTGCCCCCACTATCTCCATCCAAATCTTTCTACCATGTTTCCCCCTCTAGTTCCTGAATCTCTCCAAGAGCATACGTTTTTAATATACAATAGTACTTTGGCCCACTCCCATCCTTTTCCCTGTCTCACTTTTACAGCCCATAGTTCAGTTATGGGTCCCATCCCACAAAGTTCAAATGTCTCATTACATTAGGATTTTCATGTCACTTTGCCTATTAACCACTGTGATCTGTGCACTGACATCTGAGATTACAGGTTCTGTTACTGACTCCTTTTATAAGACTTTCTCATTTGAAATTGAGTTCCAATCTTCCTACACCATAGTTACTCTGCCACTTACAGGCTGGTGGACACATATAAACAGTTTTCTCCCTTTGCTTTTACCAATTAAAAAACCTTCTGATCAGAAGTAGCACGCACCATTATGGATAGAGTGCTAGACTTAAGAGACAGAAAGATTTGGGTTTGACTGCCACTTCAGATTCTTAATAGGGTACTGACTCGAGGCAAGTCACTTTGCTTCTCTGATCCCAACTTCTTCACCTTTAAAATGGTGTTACCAACAACAACTGCACAGTACTACTATGAAGATCAATTTAGATACCGTAGGTACAGCACTTTGCAAACATTAAAGAATTATAAGAGAGCTTTTATTATTGCTATTTACATAAAAAAGCTCTATACAAATACATATATTTTTGTTAAGTGCACTCAATCCCTGGCAGAATCCATTATTCATCTCTTTTAGGTTATGCTCCAGAAATCCAAATCCAGGATTATGATACCATTTTCTCAACTTGTTTACTCCTCAAGTCTGTTTCTCTTATATAGACCTTAGCTTCTACAGCAGCAATGATGAACACACCACTTGTGCCTCAAGTCTTCTGTTTCTTGGTTAAGACTTCATAATCTTCAGAAAGTTTTCTATATTCCTTCTAACTTCATCATTTAAGCTGTGAGCCTACCACAAGTAGGGAGTAGTCATCTGGCTTGACCAATATAGGGTCAGAGACCAGAGTGGCCTTCTGGTTCCTCAGTCTACTCAATTTGCAAAGCTTATTCCTCTACCCCACCTTAGCTATATACAGAAATGGCTTCATCTGACCATCAGCCATTAAGTGTTTCACTTCCATGTTCATAGACTCCCAAGTCTTTTAAATCATCTTTTATCATTCCAACTTTCCCTATGCCTCATGATGTCAAACTATTCTCCGTCCTCAATTTTGACCTCCAATTCCTATATCTCTCAGCTCTTTTTCAGGACATCACCCCTACACTGGCTACATTCTCCTCTCTTCCTATTTCTATCCTTTAGGTAAATCAGTTAAACTCTATACTAGTTTCTATACTCGAATCTTTTGCTCCCTGGCCCTATTGATAATAATGTCTTTCTAAACTTCAGCCTTATATTATTCTCATCATCTGTCTTCTTAAGCCCAGTTTATGTGGTAAACAGAGCTAGAAAAAAAAAGTCATGAAACCTTTCTGGTTATTTGCATTACAGATGTATGTATGTAATCTCACCTATGCCCTAACTACAGCAAGGGATCCTTTTCTATGTCTTTAATCCATTTCTTATCCCACTTATCATCATAGGTCCCAAACATTCTCCTCTCTCAAGGTACTCCCTCCCTGACCCTCATAACTTCAGACTTCGACATACTTTAGCCCCCTTCCCCAAGAGGTAATTTGCTGAGTATACCCCTTTCTTCCCTCATCTCATCACTACTTTTCCCTCTTCATCCATCTTGCAGAAAGAAGCGGCCCTTCTCCTTGACAAAGCAAACCCTCAACTCAATGCCATTCCCATCTTTTATAGAACATTATCTCCTTTAAAATTCCCTACCCATCATTTCCAATCTTTCCCTAACAATTGTCTCTTTCCCTGATCCCTACACATCTCCCTTATGCTTAAAAAAACATTCGATCTGTCCATTCCTGCTACCTACTAAGCGGTATCTTTCCTCAGCTAACCTCCCCAAAAGGTTCCTCCATTTCTCGTCGCTTGTTTCTAAACTCTCTGCGATCTGGTTTCCACCTCATCTCAAACTGTAATGCTCACAGGCATTACAAACTCAACATATGCCAAATAAAATTCCTTATCTTTCCTCCCAAATCTTTCTTTTTATTTGTATCCCCAAAGCTTAGCACAGTGCCTGAACACAATGGGAGCTTAATAAATGTTTACTGAGTGACTTTTCCTTCTTCCTAACTTTCCTATTATTGTTCAGAGGACAGCCATCCTTCCAGCCACCTAGGCGCATGATCCTAAGTATCAGCCTCCACTTCTTACTCACACTCCACACATCCAGTCAAACGTCAAGTACTATTGTTTTTATCTTAGTAACATCTCTCACATGGGAACTTTTCCTCACTGGTAACTATTGCAATAACCTGATTGTCTCGAAAGTACAAGTCCAGATATGTCCCACCCCATTCCCCTTTCCCTCCCTGCTGCCAACCCACTCAAATTCTAGTGGCTAGTCCACAATGAAGATCATATAGTTTGGAATTCAACTTTAAAACTTTGCCCTCTTACCTTACTATCTTTTATTCCCCTTCAAATACTTTACTCTCTGGCTATACGCTGTTCTTCAAACATGACACTCCATACCTCCTGGCTGGCCCCCCATACCTGGAATGTTTTTTCTTCTCACTTCAGCCTGCTTGCTTGAAGAACTGTGTAAAATCCCACCTTCTCCTAGAGGCCTATCCTGGGCCTCCCTATGTCTGGAACCTTTCCTCTGAGGTTACAACCTCTAATTCACAGCATCGATGCATGTATACATGTGTCTTCATGTATGTATACGTACAAATACATGCCTGTGTATATCTTACATGTATAAGGTGAGCTCCTTGAGGGCAAGAATCGTGCTTTTGCCAGTGCTTACCTGGAACATAGTAAGCACTTAATGATTGTCTACTGTGTTAATTTTATAACTCTAGCAAACAGTGGTTTCTAGCACAGAGTAGGCACTTACCTGCTTTATGATTCTTTTTTAAAAAAATCAATTTACTCATCTTTTGTTTTTTTAATCACCTATATTTCCTACTTTATTTCTTTACCATATCCTCCAAAAGAACTATCTCTTACAATAAATTTTAAGAGGAAGAAAAATAAGTTTAGTAAAACTAGCATTTTAAAAACATCTAATATTATACTTAAGTGTTCTATGGTCATGATCCCTCACCTTTACAAAACAACAACAACAATAATAATAGCAATAATAGGAGGCATCTTGTCGTATGATTCTCAGAATGATGGAACCAGTACAACAGTTTCCTTTTAATTGAATAGCCTTTATGAAACTGTAGCTACTATAGGATTTACAACTTATACATACAACAAAAGGGTTGCTGGGGAGCAGGGAGTTACAAGCTACCACAACTCATCTCTTGTTCCTCTAAAACTTACTGAATGGTCTTGTTTCTGATAGTATCTGTCACTTCATATCATCATTCCTCAGAGCACAAGCAGTTGCTTCTTCCTCAAACGGTCCAACTCTTTTTTCTTTGGGAGGAGCTTCACATCTGTTACTTAGTTCCAAGTGTTCAATGATCCTTGTAGTTTCTTTTTAAATTTAACACTATTTTCTTCAATTAACGAAAATTTATTTTCTCTCCCTCCACCACCACCCCCACTGGAAATAAAACCTTTGTAACAAATATGCACAGTCAAGCAAAACAAATTTCTACATTGTGGCTATATCCAAAAAGTATGCCTCAATCTGCACCCTGGGTTTACCACTTTTTTTAGGAATTAGGTAGTGCTCTTCATTAGTGTTCCTCTGGAATCATGGTTGGTCACTGAATCGATAGAAATCTTAAGTCTTTCAAAGTTGTTTATTTTTACAATGCTACTGTTATTGCATAAATTGTTCTCCTGATTCTGCTTACTTTTCTCTGTCATTGAAGAAAAAGGAAAAGGTCCTATAGGTACAAAAATATTTACAACAGTTCTCTGTGTGGTGGCAAAGAAATGGAAACTAAGGGGGTGCCCATTAATTGGGGCTAAACAAATTATGGTCTATTAGAGTTAATGGGATGTAACTGCGTTGTACAATAAAGAGGTCTCAGAGAAGACTTGTATGTACTGATGCATAGTGAAGTGAGTAGAACTAGGAGAACAATTAATGCTCTAACATCAACACTGTAAAAATGAACAATTGCCAAAGACATAAGGACTGATCAATCATAATTCCAGAGGACCAATGATGAAAAAGATGCCTATTCAGTTCTAGAGAGTTAAAGGATTAATATGCAAAATAAAATACATTTTTGGTCATAGCAAACATGAGGATTCATTTTGCTTCACTGTTATAATTTTCTTTTTCCCACCTCTTTGGGAGGTATGGGGTAGGGGGGGAAAATAAATGCTTGGTAATTAAAAAGAGAATTTAAAATTTTAATACTGATTGTTTATATCCTTTCATCATTTAACTGTAGAATCTCTTATTCTTATTAATCTGGATAGTCCCTTATGGTTTCATAGATTTAAACCTGGAACCTCAAAGGCTGTCTAGGTCAAACCCCTAGTTCTACAGATGAAGAACACCTGAGCCTTTGTGGTACATTTTTCTACTCTTTAGCCTTCCGACATCCATCAGGATTCATCCCCGCAAACTCCTATGACTTTCTCTTCATAATGAAGCCCCTTCTTTAGTTTTGGGTATTCCTTCTGCCTGATCATCTGGACAGGAATTACTTGAGCCTTTCATTTCAGAAGACTGAATATGCTTCACTTTGAGTATAGATACAACAAACATGACAAAGATGAACACTACACATTTTATGTCTTAAATAGCTAGTGCATTTATTGTTTACTAAATATGCCTGGCACTGTCCTAAGTGCTGGCAATACAAAGATGGTTCCTACTCTCAAGGAGCTTACATCCTCATAGGAAAGTCACAATAAAGGGAATAGCAAAGAGGGGTGAGGAAGAAGGGTATTCCTGGGGGTGCCAGGCAGCAGGTTATGGAGATGAGGTGTGGGGGTAAGCTGGAAGAGGACAGTTAGCAGCATGGCTGGGTTTTCTCATGATATGGCAGTTCCAGGTAGAGATTCACCAATTACTGAGTCAGCTTCAGGGTCAAGTCATCTCCAGGGGGTCAGGGAGACAGGCAGCCAGAGTGAAAGTGAAGCAGACTGGCATGTAGGAAGAACAGACTGGAGAGTAATCCATAAGTGAAGAGTGAGTAGGACTTCTCATGACATGGTGGTAACAGGGAGGGAGTCATCAATCATTGAGTAGGTAGAGTTATCCCTAGGGGGCCATGCAGGTACAGAGGTTTATGCAGCTATTACAAAACTCTTCTTTGCTCTTTAAACCTGCGGCAAGAGATATCTTCAGTATTTTGCTTTTCTGGCTAGTAGACACCCTGGAAATCTGCTGGAGCAAACTGCTTCTGGGGGAAATTAATTCCAGATTTGTCACTCTCCTTATTGGCACCTTAGTATTTCAACTTCTCTTCTCTTACTAACTTCTTAGCATATCTCACCAACTTCCTTTTCTTCTTCCTTAATTTCTTCTCTTCAAAGATTTTCCATATTGTTCAATAACAAGTGCGGCTTTAAGTAGGGAGGCAAGCCCGACAAAGACATTTGCCCTTACCATGGAGAGTAATTGGTACAAAGTTCAAATGAAAGAGGGACTTCCAATAAATACTTAAATTTTCCAGATACTCCTGCTTTGTGAATAACACTACTGACTGCATAAAGTTTCTGAAAGAAAATTATAAAGTCTGCTCCATGAGATCCTTGGCTATGCAAGGGAATTCACAGAAAAAAATTTTACTTAGGAGGCTACACAGGAAAAAACAAAAAGATGACAAATGCGTATTTCCCAGACGCAGCAAGTAGTTAAATGGACAGGCCACTGAGTTAGTATGTTAGGGCATAACATAGGAAGACAATGATATAGTCAAGAATAGAACAGGAATTAGAGAGTAGGTTGAGTTTTATTTTGAAAGTTGTACAGCATTGTTCACAATCTCACCTTGTTATTTTGGCCCCAAAGTTCACTTTGTTAGAATCACAGAATCTTAGCGTTAGGACCTTAGAAATCATTTAATCCGATTCCCTCATTTTATGAATAAGTAAACTGGCACTCAGAGAGGATACTTGTTCTGTCCAAAGTCACACATATAAAGTTGAAATTTAAACTCAGGTACTCTGATCCTAAATTCAGCACTCTTTCCACTGTCACAATGCCCCCTCTATTTGGTTGCAAAGCATGGAAAGCAAAAGTTTTTAACAGAATAAAAATTTTAAGTGACCCAAAATGGTAAGGGAAGACCCATGGTGGGTATTAGAAAGGCTACGACATATTACTGATGATGACTTGCATGGAAAGAAGTGGCAAAAAGACCTGACTGGAAAAGGAGGTGCACATTACACAGGAAGAGAGAAGGCCCAAAGCCGGAGAGAGTTTTAACATTGCCCTGGTATCTATGAAATAGTTAATTAAAGTAAACATGAACCAAAACAGTGCAGAACTACAAGGTATGGCTGGGTTGCAATTTGCACTGGGTGAAGGCAGTACCCACAATGCTGAGTTCATGTATCCATGGAAGTATTTCAATCTCAAACTGGATACTCCTATCACACATGCCCATTTATCTTTTGGAAACTGAACTATGATTCCCCAAAAGGGCCCTAGATACTTACCAACTGAAGATAAAAATCAGAAGGATTATTTATATGACAAACCACAACTGACACATTTGACAATTCCTTTGGTAATACAGGTGGATGGTATCTTAACGTCATATGCTGTTCAGGCGGAACACTGGGCAACTGTGACCTAAACCTAATTAAAAGAACAACCAAAAGACAAATAAATCATTAATTTTAAAAATTGTTTTTAAATTTCTACCTTGTTCCAGTGACTATCTCTGAAAGAAATGCATGGATATTTAAATCTTTAATTACCTAAGATAAGCTAGGTAATTCTCAACTTGTCAATTTTAAATGTCATTGAGCCCTCTCTTTAATTACTATTAAGAGATTTCAGTATTCCACTTAACCTCAAAACTGAATTAGAAAACAACAGAGGTAAAAGTTAAGTTGGGCCCTCTACAAAAAAAAAGTTTACAATCACACATTTGGATATATTTATAGTTATCTACACAATAAACATAAGAATAATTTCTAAGTGTTGGCTGAAGTAATCCCATACAGTCTCTGTGATTTAGACTATCTTCCTTAAGTAAATCAGCCCTCATTTAATTACCAAGGTCCTGTCTGAGACCTTCTCTAGGACAACTGTCTTTCAGTAGTAATCTTAACCAAAGATGTCCTTAGTCATATTATTCATACTCTCCCAGGGAGAATGATGAATGACTGAATTCAAACTTCCCAGAACGAATCCCCTTAATAAAAGGATTTGTTCTGTAAAACTTGAACTCGATGATTCAGCACTTGAGGACCTAGAGGGCTACATGTGGCCTCGAGGCTGCAGGTTCCCCACCCCTGGCGTGGAGAGTATGAATAATATGACTAGTGACTAGTATAGAGCCTATATGTTGCACATCTTAAGACTTACTTTAAAAGTAATTCATTTTAAAAGTAATTACTTTAAATAAGCATGTCCTATTAGCAGTACATCTCATACATAACTGAAGGGGCAAGGAGGGAAAAAATCCAAGTGGTATATAACCAGAATCACAGTGAAAGATGCAAAAAGTGCTCATTGTCTTATTATTTCCAAGACCAGTGATTTAACTCAATAACTATGATCCCTGAAAATATAGAATTTCAAAAGATTATTGGGTGCACTAAAAAAACAATTATCTACATTTAAAATTTTTATTCACATTTTGAATCATAACGCACCAACTTAAACTTGGTCTCCCTATCCCCTGCAGCTAATAAACTAAAGAATTTAAACTTTTGTAGTCATGGATGTGGCTATAGTAGCAGATGATAGATAGTATGTTAGACCTATATAGCAGTCTGAAGCTAACTGTGACTTCAAATCCCTTGGTTTTTTAAATGTGATTTTTTAAAGATGAAAAAATGCTGTTCTTAAAGCCCTGATCTTAAAATAACAAGCTATCTTCTTGAATAAGATACATACCTTGCTAATTCCATAAAAACTAATGCATCTCTAAGAGATACTGGCATATCACTGCTTATTTTATTTGCCGGAGGTTTCTTGAGATCTACAATAAGCACACCATCTTCTTCTCTAAAGACTTTCATTAGAACAGCTTTGTTGTTTACCATTTTCAAAAATTCCATTTTAGCTTCTTCTCCCCAGCCTTCATTCTATTGAATAAATAAAAATCAAAAGTCAATGTAAGTATTATAATACTGTTATAACTATACTTTCTCTGGAAATACATTGTGGTTTTTTTCTCTACAGAATATAATCCTAAACAAAAGTATTAGTCAGATGACCAATTTAAGCATATACTGGAAAAAAAGCAGATGCCATAAGAAACCAAAAGACATTACAACATGTTTCTTATATGCTGACTTTTCAGCCTATGCTAAGAGAACTAACCATATCAAATGATGTTTATCATCATGTCATAGTGGAAGAAAGAAGATCTGGGATGGACTATATGTTATATATCATGGACAAGTCATTTTACCTTGCTAAGGGTCAGTTTCAAAGAGATACTACTATTTGTCACAGGCAATGTGGATCAATCCTGGAGTTGAGAAGACTTGGGTTCAAATGTTCTCCGATACATAACCAGTTATATATGACCAGACAAATCACCTAATCTCTCAGTGACCTGGGTAACTCTCTAGGACTAAAAATTATAAATGAGTTACACAAGTTGACTAAATGTGAATTTCCCATGTCAAGCAAAGAGAAAGAAGCCACCTTTTGAAATAAATTACTACATCTTAGAAACCGACCTTCATTTTGGTTAAAGTGAGAAGTCACATTTTATCTTTGTCTTGGTCCCCTCACCACTTCAACTCTTGCATCTAGGCTAATAAAATAGTCCTAAGGCTAGCTATTAAGAAGTTCTATATTAAGGCTGAAATGCAAACTGGTCCAACTGCAAGGTTAATGCTAATCAAAGCTAGTCATAGTTCCAAATCAGGGATTGGGATGACTGGGGGGGCCTGTTTTCTTAATGGGGTCTCTCTGTGGCCACATGCATGTGTCTATCTTTAGCGTTTGTTTCTTTTTTTAAAAAGTATTTCTTTAATAAACTTTCTCCTGGCCTACTTATGAGCATGATGTGGGTGACGTGGTAGAAACCCCCCTCCAACAAAAACACACACAAAAAAAACCAACAAATACTTGCACTACCTACTTCACTAGATTGTGAGGAAAGCACTCTGTAAAACCATGGAGGGCTATTTAAATGTGAGCTGTTTAGTTACAAAATTTATAGTAAAAGAAGTATGAATTTAAATAAAGGATCTGGACATTCTACTAAAAAACTAATCAAAGGATAACTAAGATTTATAGAAGCTCTGTAATAAAATCCTATTCCTCCAGACACATACACCTCTTTATTTGTTATTATTATTTGATTCCTATTTGATTGCCTATTTCCTTCATAAAAGGATGTGTGAATGGATAAAAAAAAATCATAGTGAAAAGGCACTGTCATCAAGAACAAAGATGGAAGAGATTAGCCTTGGAGAGCAGGAATATTCATTTCCTCAGTTGGAAAGTAGAGGAATAACAAGAGAAATTTCTAGAATGGGCGTAGTGAAGCAAGCTTGTATCATGTGGCTCTGACACTGACAGCTGATGGTTAACTTTTAGATGAATAAGCACATATAATCAACAATGTGATTCATTGGAGATTCTATTTTAGACCCATGAACAAAATCCTTAGGTCAATATTCTTCAGTTGACTAAAAATTAATTCACTTTTATCATTTATTTGGAAAATATTTTATACGAATTCAAGCAAACAAATAAAAGAAAAATTAGGGGAAATATTTTAGCTATGCAAGCTGAAGTTTTTTTTTTTTTAAAAAAAACTGGCTCTTGTATACTCAATATGTAAAAATCCTTTCTGCACTTTCCAATTCTATTGCCAACTCATATGTAATATTTAAAATTTCTTTTAACCTAAGAGAAACTATTCTTAATACTAATTAACATTTGTTGATTTAATTACTCACCGAATTTTGTGGGACAACATCCTTTAATGCGCATGACAATGCTAATGGATGGAAATCTCCTAGCATTCCTTCAATATATGAATCAGGCTTTCTTATAACCATACATAGATCATTTACCACTAAATGTGGTAGAGCACTGTGTCCTGGTCTAACTACGTGGCCATCACCAATCCTAGCAAGAATTTAAGCAACATTGTTAGAAATAGTTAATTCAATCCTGAACTTTTATCCATTCCCAAAGTTACCTATGCTTAAAATTTAAAAGAATGACAGAGACATTAGTCCAACTTCCTTATTTTACAAATGAAGAATATGATTGTAAGAGAAAGGAAGTGACTTGTTTTAAGTCCCACAGGTAGTATGTGATGGAGGTGGGCTCTGAACCCAGATTTTCTGACTCCAAATCCAGTGTTCTTTCCACTATACTATGGTGTCTTTCATTAATAAATAGGAATGCCTTAGTCATAGATCAAATTTCAATTTGCTTACAAAAACTGACTAATGAAATTCCAATGTTATATTTATTGGTTAATTCATAAATGCTCCGTGCCAGTGACAGATGTGGTTTCTCATAGAAATATTTTCTGCTCATTTTTAATTGATGTAGGCTATTTGCTACCCAAATGGGAGATAAATACTATATTTAACTTAATCATATTTTACTTTTAAAATCATACTGCAACTAACCATAAGTATAATTTTATTTTGGAAAAGATTAAACAAACCATTTCCCTCAAGTTCTCCACCATTTTTTAAACTGACGAATGACTTTCCCTAATTTATTAAGAAATGAAGGAATGAGGAAAAAGCAAAATAAATTAGCTGTGGAATTGTGAGGTTCTTGATAAGTTATCTGTCCATATAAATCTTTTCTACCTTTTTCCCCCAATTCATTTAAGTAGGACATAAAACACAAACAAAAGCAATTAGAAACGTCATACCCTGAAACAGCTAAGACTTCAGAATTCCCAAAGTCTATCATGAAAACTTGCATCAGTGCAACATCACGGATTGGACATTTGGTAGGACCACAGGGCTTTCCTACATTTTTATTTTCAATAGGAATTAGTTCAGTGATAGTTCCACGGCACCACATTCCATTTTCTACACTGTTGACAAATATCTTTGCACCTAAAGAGATTGAAAAACGTATCAAACCTTTAAGAACAAAATGAATAAAAATTTTAAAAGGTGCAAAAACCCTTTCAATTTAATAACAAGTGAATTAACTTTGACACAGATTTAGATACACATTTGTTCATTTAATTTTTTACATAAAGAGTATTTCAGGGGACATCAAAAAAAGTACGAGATAAGGTTTCTGGACTTCTCTTAGACTTTGGAATCTGGTCGTAGAAATAAGAAAATTACACAAAACAGTTAAAAGAATGCAAGGCAGGCACATGAAAATCTAAAAAGGAGTAGTATGGACAATAAGTTATATAAGAATTAAGAGAAGATTGAAATCACTGGGAACTGGTCAGGGATTAGTTTTGATACATTATTTCATTGACTTCCAGAATGCCACTCTTTCTTGGACATTTTTCTGTTCCTCGAACTATTCCCCTTCTGTTTCCTGTAACTTTACTGTCCTCTTCCTTTTATGTGGGTGATCCCTAAGGCTCATACCCCTCACCTCTCTAAAAAAAAATCTTTCTTGATTTCCCAGTTATTAGTGTTCTCCCTCTTCTCAAAATAACTTATATTTAACTATTCAATTTAGCAAACATTTATTAAGGCATTGTATTAGGTGGTAGGATATAAAGACAAAATGAAACTGTCACTAAGGACATTACAGTCCATTGGGTATAACACATGTGTAAGGTAATACAAAATAATTTCAAGTGAGAAAGTACTAAAAAGTAGTTTACGGTAGCATGAAAAAAGGTGCAAGACATGGCAGCTAAGCTGTGCTCTGATGGAAACTAGGAATTCTGTAAGAATGGAATCAATTCCAAACAAGGAGAGGACCAACCACTTCTACAAAGGTGGAAGACAGAATCTCAATTATATCATAACAGCTAACAAACCAGTTTTACCAGAATGGGTAAAGGGAAGTAATATGAATTCAGAATGGTAAAATAAGTAGGAGCCAGATTGTGTATGCCCAGCTGAGGACTTTTTATTTTACCCTAAAGGCAATAGGGTTCAAAGATTTCTTAGTGGGGTGACATAGACAAATGTATGCTTCAAATACAATAATTTGGCAGTTGTATGAAACACGTGTTGGCATAGTTTCGAGCTAGCCTTGAAAAAAGAAAGATCAGATTTATCTTTAAGTCATACTGTCTAAGTGACCATGGGCAAGTCAACAAATGTCTCAGTGTTCTAGGCAATTCTCTAAGACAAAGAGGTGATGACTTTCACTGGTAGAGTTTCCTCACCTAGAATTTCCCATACTATACCAATGAAATCACTGGTCTAGTCTCTAGAAGAGAATTAAGAGAGGGAAGAGACCGTAAGGCAAGAGAGGCAAAAAAGGAGGTCCTTTCAAAAGACAAAGTGAGAGATTATAAGGTCTCAAATTAGGACAGAGGCAGAGTGGACAGAACGGGATGGATGTAACAGATGTGGATATATGATAGAGAACTGACATAGCAACTGCTTACATGTAAGGATTACAAGAAATGGAAGGGTCATGGATGAACCTGGGTAAGTGGAAGGAAGTAAGAATCAAAAAGTATTCAAGTGCTTACTAGGTTGCCAAGCACTGTGCTAAGTGTTTGGGAGATGAAACTAAGCTTCCATTCTAATGGAGACAGACGACATACTTTTATAGGGAAAAGTATGCAGGGAGGTATGTTTTATTTTGAAAAATCATAGGAATGGTTGAGTAGAACCAGAGTGGGATACAGTGGACAAAGAGTCATAGCGGATACTCACTTTCAAGGATGAAGTACCATTGACAGAAAAGGGAAATTTTGGATGAAGCACTGGTCTTAAGGGAAATAAAATAACCTCTGTTTGGGAGATATCAAATTTGAGATGCCACTGGGAGATTCAAGTAGAGATTTAACATGCAGCTAGAACTGATGTTCAGTAAAGATTATTGTAGATATACAGATTGCAAGTTGTAGATACACAGTTTTGCTCATGTACATAACTAAACCTATGAATGTTGAGATCACCAAAACAGAAAATATAGAGAACAGTGTCCAGGAATGTGCCTTTAGGGGGTATCAAAGTGACTTTAGCAGGTATGTTTAGTCATGGAACATGGTCTAAATATATTAATATCAAATTGCTAACTAATTTTCCCAAATACATTTGTTCAACAATGAACTTGCCATCAACTTATCAAACACCAATCTTTAATATGTTTACCGCATCTATTCCATCATTCTATTTCACTTTTCCCCCCTGCAGCAGATATTCTTGATGATATGTGATCACTATAAACGCGTCAATGCTAGAATGTAAGCCCACTTTCATTAGTTTAACTCTCTTCTTTTGTGCCCTGGGTATTCCTTCCTGTTTTATAACATAAAGTTCATTATGATTTTATTAAGCTCTATAAGGAAACCCTTTGGTATTTTAGTTGGCATTATATTAAAGTGTGAATTAATTTAGGACTGTTGTCATTTACTATATTAAGGTAAACTACCCATCAATATCAAAAGTCCCACAGTGACTGTTCCAAACTTCTACATTCAAGCCACAAACACAATAATCTTCTTTCTTACTCTTGGCAGATCTTGCCAGATGCTTCACTAAAATAAGAAATTGATCATCTACTTTCTCCCCAGTTTCACAATGCAAATGACTCCATTATCATCTGTATATTCTTTGTTCTCCTCTCTGAGGAAGGGGAAGGGACGGCTCCTGTTGCTAATATCAACTCATCTACTTGTGACCTTGGCTCTATCCCCTCTTATCTCCTCTAGAAGCTTGGCCCTTTTATCATCTTCTCTCTTCTTCCTCTATCTTCCTTGCTTCCTTCCTTCCACCTCTCTTCCTCCACTGTCTTCCTTGCTGCCCAAATACGCTCCAGATTTTAGAAAACTTTCACTTGACCATACCATCCTTTCAAGCTATTGCTTTGTATTTCTCCTCTTTCACAAATACCTACAAAAAGCTACCTATATTTTGTTGCTAACAATCTCACCTCCCACTCATATCTCAATGCTTGGTCTTCATTCCTCACCACTCAATTGAGATTGCTCTCTCCAATGTTAAGGATCTCATCACTGCTAAATCCAATGGCCTTTTCTCAGTCATTATTCTTCTTGACTTCTCTAGTTTTGTTGACCACTTCCTCATCTTCTAAATACTCATTTCTCCTTGGATTATTTTTTTTTGTTGTTAATTCTGCTCTACCTTGGCTTTCTTCCAGGCTAGCCAATCATCTGAGTCTCCTTTGCAGGACTGTCATACAAGTTCCACTTTCAAATTAAGACTCTTCCTTGGGCCCTCTGTATTCTCACACTAGCTTCAATGGATTCAGCTATCACTCATATGCATATAAATTCCAAATCTACTTATCTACTTCATCTCTTTCCAGAACTTCAATCAATCAGGACAGCTAGGTAGCGCAGTGGATAGAGCACCAGCCCTGTACTCAGGAGGACCTGAGTTCAAATCTGGCCTCAGACATATAACATTTACTAGCTGTGTGACCCTCTGCAAGTCACTTAACCCCACTGCCTAACCCCCAAAAGAGGAAAAAAAAAAACCAGAACTTCAATCAATCAACAAGAAGTATTAAGTTTCTACTATGTGCCAGGAACTGTGCTAAGTACTGAGGATACAAAAACATATATGAAAGAGTTCCTGCCAACAAGCAGCTTACACCACTAAGGGAACACCATGTACATCCTAAATATATGTAAAGTAAATACAAGGTAATTTCGGGGACAGTTACTAGTAGTTGGACAGGGAAGTAAAGATAGTGAAGAAATAAAGGCCTCATACGTAGTGCTGGAATTGAGCACTGAAGGAAGCTAAGGATTAAGAGGTGGAGGTTAAGAAGAAATTAATACCAGGTACAAGAAACAGTTTACATAAAGGATATACAAAAGATGGTAGATTGTTGTGCATAAGAAAGAACAAGAAAATCAATTTGGCTGGACTATTATGTGTGTGAAGAGAAGTAATAAGCATGGAAAAAGGTGAAACCAGATTGTGAAGGGTTTTAAATGACAAGCTGAAGGAACTTACTGTTGCAATTGTCTAAATGCAAGATATCTCAACAGGAGTAATAGCTATGAGTGATGAGAAGATGGATTCAAGAGCTATTGTGGAGGTAGTAGAATATACAAAACTTGGCAACTAATTGGATATATTATGTGAGGTAAAGGAGAATGAGGGATTGATGAATCCAAAACCACAGAGACTGGGGAGAAAGATGAGTTCTGCTTTGAATACAATGAATTGGAGATATCTATGTGATATTCAGTTTGAAATGTCCAAGACACAAAAGGACTGAAACTCACGAAAAAGACCAAAGCTAGATATAAAAATCTGAAAGTAAACTATGTAGAAATGACTGAACTTGGGAATGGATGAGGTCCCCACCAGAGAACACAGAAAGAAATGAGAAAATACCCTAGAGCAGAGTCCTGGAGTTTATTGATGTTTGGCGAGTAGGATATGCATGATGATTCAGCCAAGGAAGCTAAGAATGGATAGGTGGTAGAGAACCAAAAGAGAGCAGCCTCATGAAAACCTAGAGAAGCAAATATCTAGGAGAGTGGTCAACATCATCAAATTCTACAGAGATTAAGAAGGACAAGAATGAGAAAAGGTTATTAGAACCCTCTTGGTACCCGAGCTCCTGTCAAGTTTAGCTCAAGTGAAATTTCCTTAAAGAAGTCTTTCCTGATATCCTGTTAGTTCTATTCTTCCCTGAAATCTCCCTCCAAATGCTTTCTCAATACCTCCACCTAGCTGTTCTTCCACATGGGTCTCCAACTCAACATGTTCAAAACCAAATTAGTTTTCTTTTCCCTTAAAGTTATCCCTTCCCTTTTCTTTTTTTTTTTGGTTAAAGGTATCACCAATCTTCAGTCAGTCTGGTTCAAAACCTAGGAACCACTCGATTCTTTACTCTCCCTCCCCATATATAATCAGTCTTATCAATTTTACCTTGAAATTTGTCATTTATCTCTTCTATTCCCTCTACAATCACACTA